GCTGTTTTCCATGCCTCTGCTATCAAGCGATTCCACCCAAATGATGACTCCAAGTTCCCTGGAAGAACCTACTCACATGCACCTATCATCATTGATAAGAAAGATGAATGGGAAGTTGAAGAAATCCGAGACCACCGCCTTTGGCATGGAAATGATCAGTTCCTGGTCAAATAGAAAGGTTATCCAACGAGCGAAAACAGCTGGGAACCACTAGAAGGATTAGAGCACGCTATGGATATGGTGAACCAATGGTGGAAAGACAATATGCCAAACGAATCCCTCCCTCCAACGATCAATTACATCACCATGTACTGGACACCAATGATGCCTGAAACGGAGCGATGGCAGATGGAACTCGAAGCAAGAGATGGGTTTTGGGCACCAAACTTTAAGTCCGAATTCGAAAGCAGCGATGATGAAAATCAAGCTATGGAGCAGGCTCTCGACAACCTTATCTGATCCCCAATCACCATGCGAATACCATAACGATGTCAAACTATATGGAACTCAATGTGAGGCTGCGACAACAGATTGTTGGACTGTTGTTGAACCGCTAAGCTATCCAACTTGAAGACTATTTCGAAATCCTCTGGGTTGACTACTGTCCTGATTGCGATCATGCTTGGGTTGATGTACAGCACGAATCTGGTATTCGTAACTACTGTGATTTACATTTCTTTGAGTCTAAATGTTTTCTTAGGATTTCTGTTTGTCCCTAGTATGATACTTATGATGAAGAGTTTATAGCTGAAACTGAAGCCTTTAGTTTCTCAGACTCCACTTTTGATGATTATTAGGTTTTTTTTGTTTAAACAGTTGTTTTGTTTTGGGGAATGTAACCGGTATGGGTACTCGGTTATTGGTTTTGTTTTATGTTTTGTTTTAAGTATCGCTTTGATACTTGGTTTGTTTTAAGTATCGTTTGATACTTGGTTTTGTTTTATGTTTTGTTTTAAGTATCGCTTTGATACTTGGTTTGTTTTACCAAAGAGTATCAATTGATACCTTTGATTAGTTTCATTCATGCTAGACATGAACAGATTTGTGTATTTAAAGACCGCCTGTTTCTACGATAGAAAAGGCAGACTTCGACAGACAGTATTTCAATATACTTGGTTGAACAGTTACTTCTTTGTTCCTCAGTACACTCTCGAAGCCTCCTTTAGTTCTCAGCTCTCACCTCCTCTCCGGAAGAGCAGGCTATCTGCCAACTATCATGTCTATTACCGATAACGTGATTAGCACCTTGCGAACACGTTACAGATTTTATCTTATTTTACAAGTAGTAGTAGCATTATATCAAAATGTAAAATAATTATAGAAATATTTTACTAGGTATGCAAATTGAACTTCCAGCTATTTGAAAAACAATTAGGTAAGAAGCACCCCTTACACTGATCATCTAAGCATCACATTTTGTAATACCCTTGGTACACTCTTTAGACACCTCACATCTATTAGACTAATTTAAATATACTATTATACTATTAAGTTATGATTAACTAATTAAATTGTAAACCAATTTTAAATTTAGAATTGACTAAATATATCTACTTATTTATTTCTTCTGTCACAAATGTGGCTTGGCGAGGAAATGGTTTTCACATAATACATGGTTATGAGTCACAGGTATGTTATTGTTTTACACATATGACTCATTCGAGTCATATGATTTGTTTTGTTTGGGATTTGTGACACTTTCGCACATAGCTCAAATATGAGTCATGGGACATGCACCTGACGAGTATGCCTTGCAAGTATGCCTGGCGAGTATGCCTTGCGAGTGTGTCTTGCAGGTAGGCCTTGTGCATATAATTCATGTTTCGCACATGACCTCAGTATAAGGTCATGAGTTTCACACATATGACTCAGTCGAGTCATATAACTTGTTTATTGTATTATGATTGGTTTATAAGTTTTTGCACATGACCTCGCTATGAGGTCATGGGTTTTGAGTATGTGACCACTTTAGTCACATGACTAGTTTGTTATGATTTGGTTTCGCACATGTGACTACTTTGGGTCACATGACTATGGGCGGGAAGAACACTATATAAGGAGGCCAATGTGGCTGAGGAGGATAGGTTCTTCATGCTTTGTTCTAAGTACTTTTCCTACTTATTACTTTAACGAATATAAAACACCTTTACAATCTTTATCTTTATTGTAACATTATCATTACGCCAAGGAAAGTTCTTCACAAAGAGGAGTTAGAGAAAGCTTACGATAGGCGTTCCCGATAGAAGACAGAGGTCTTGTACTATCGTAACATAGGCAGAGGCCTAGTGCTATTATAGGACTAAGGAAAGAAACAGAAGGAGAAGAGAAGTATCGTTTCCCGTCACCAAGAACTAACTATCTAAGAAGAAATCATTACATCTTTTCTCGATACTCTAGTATATATTTTATAATATTACCAGCTGCTGGACTTTAAATCCTTAATATACTTAAATATTAGCAGCAGTCAAATGTAGATCGAGGGGCCTCTAGTAATTTCAGTAAAATTTAGTTTCTAGGCCTACAAAGCTCTAAATTTTACTACTAGTAAGATGATAGTAAAGTTGGTTGATATTTTAACTCCATAACTGACTACCGAAAACATAAACTTGAAGGTGAAAGGTAAGATCCAGAAAATAGTTGAAAATTTAATAGAGCTTGCTATCTTGCCTACTCTACTATCTTATTAACCTTTGCTTTTTATATTTTTTTACATTGCTTTTAATTTTTCTATTTTAATTTTTATCTTTTTATGGGTTTCTTTTATCATTATTTGCTTTTTTAATCTATCTTTATCCAGAGACGCCCTTCTATAATCCCTGTGCATATATTCCTCATCGTTTCATTCAGTTTAGTTGAGAGCTGGAAGAGTTATCACCACTTCCGTAATTGGCTTGTCCTGCCCTGCTTCCAGGTTATGTCCTGCTTCGCTGTCTGGTACAATCGTGTCCGGAAAGTTTTCATACCCTCGCATGGTCACTGCACAACTACAACCCCCAACCATCAAAATTTCAGAAAAAATATATAGAATTCAATTAAAGAAAACATGATAGTATTTCTCGTAGACAATAAAAAAACATTATTACCATTTTGTATGGCCTCCATTTGCATCCAGTACAGCCTGCATTCTCTCAGGCATCCTATCTATCCATCCATCCAACTTCTCTTGGAGAATTAAATTCCACTCTTCCTTTGCTGCCTCAAACAATTCAGCTGCATGATGAGGCCTTCTTTCTAGTCTGGAGAATCGCTTGGTAAGGGCTCTTTTGAGTAGTGCCCATGTGTTCTCAATAGGATTGAGATCTGGTGAGTTGGGTGGCCAAGGGAGTTTTTTGTAACCACAGTCTGCTTCCAATTTTCAATTTTCCTCACCACCATGCCAGGAAGTATTGTCTGCAGCAAAGTAGATATGGTCAGAAGATCTATCCAAACTCTCTATAAAAGGAATAAGGTAAGGCTGGTAGATCTCAGTTGCATATTGGTGAGAGTTTAGGCCAAGTCTGTCTCTTTTACTGGTCCTTTCCTCCTCCCTCCTCTTTCTCACAAGAATTAACTCAGTCTTTCCTCCCTTCATCATTGCAGCATATACTCCAATGCTAGTCCTTCCAAACTTAAAGCTAGGCTTTAAGTTTTTTTTCTTCCAGCTCTTCACCAGGTCTAACTCTGACCTTTCTGCCTGTTGGATTTGGATCATAAACAATGGTAGCTTCATCCACAAAAACAACCCAATTCAATGCCCCTTTCTAGTTTCTCCTTCTCTTAGCAAACTCCCTTCTTTTCTCCTTTTGTCCTTTTCTCCAAAAAGGCCTTTTCCTTGGTATCAGAAGCTTAAAACCAGCTTCTGATCTGATCTTATCAATAGTGGTTTTACCAAGACCAATATTCGCTTTTTTGGTAATGTCACGTAATGCTAAATGAGGCTCAGCATCAATAACTGACTTCACTACCTTTCTTTTTATGTCAGTAATCTTGGTTGGTCTTCTACCTCTTTTTGTATGGTGAGTGTTTCCACCCCTAGATTTAGCTCTTTTGACCACAGACTGAACAGTTGACTTGGATATACCTAAAGACTTAGAAATTTTGTCATATCCCATATCTGTATGTTTATACAGAGTATAAATTTCCTTATTCAGGTCTTCTCTTGCTCTTAGGCTATGTGGAGGTACCATGGTGAGAAGGGTTGTTGTGGTGATGAGGTATTGCGGGGTTGCACCTCAGGGGTACGAAAACTTTCCGGACACGACTGTACCTTAGTCAGTGGCAACAATCACTTTTATCACCGAACTGTACTGTACATACTTGTACTAGTACAGTCCGAGTACTATACAAGGGTAGGTGATCCACTATCCACAACAGACAGTGAACTATGATATTTGGCCTGTCGACCCCCAATAACTATTTCATTCTTTCTTCATTCTTTCGGTGTACGGTACGGTACATACCGGTGGTAGCGGTGCAAATACGAAGGTCTGGCAAGAAGTTAACAACTTGAGAGCCTGAATTAAATCAATCCGCAAGCGCAACACAGATCGGGAACATGCCAGGAACCATTGATCGAGATGAATCCGATGCACTTGTGTGCAACAGCAAGTAAATAACTGGCGGGCTGACTGTTATCCCGATCACAGCCTGCAGAAATGTAAGTAAACAAATTGCAGAGAGGAAATTGCACACGCGATCAAGACTGAAGCCAGACGAAGGGTAGGTGGAAGAGTGGTCCTCGCGGAAAAAGCTTGTTACGCTTCGCAATTACAGCGCTTTAAGAAGTGCAAAGCAATGCGAGAGCAAGCGCCCCCTCAGCTTTCGCCCCGGCAAGCCCGAATTCCTTAAGTAAGGAGTCCCTTCCCCACCCCCATTCGTGCATAAAAATAAGCAAGAAAAAAAAAAAACCCTCGAATAACCCTTCGTACTTGTAAGAATGCAAGAAGTAATAATTAGTGAAAAAGGTGACCAACCAGTTTGCTCGTCGTTGCTGTCGTTCATGATGCTTACTGTGGGGGGGGATGGGTCATTCAGCTTACTCGGTAGCTGCCGCCCTCCCCGGGCGCAAGGGTGAGGAGGAGGGGGCCGAAACAAAAACGTATCGTACCCTTAAGAGTCCAAAAAATGACCGAGCTCTAAGGCCGCGGATATGCCGTATAAAGCTGCTGTGCGTTCTTTCCGTCCGGTCATCCGGTGTGCAGTACCGTTACTGCCCACCCGCGCCGGTTGGAAAGTCCATCGTTCGGTGCCGGTTCCATCACTCATTTACTCGCGGTATTCTACTTTGCCAGCTAAGGTTGCATCACTCGCACATACGATGTATGTACTGTACCCCACCTTTTTTTTACCAGGCCCAGCTGATTCTGCCTAAACCTGAAGGTGAAGACGGATTGTATGAGGAAGTTGGAAAAAAAAAGTCAACTTATCCACTTGGCCCGATGATAGCAAAAGGGGTGCCTCGCCGTATTGTAGGAGCAGAGTACGGTCCCTGTATTGTATGATAATACCGATACGACCACGGCATCTGTATCATATATGCAGCCAAGGCGCACCCAAAAACCTTCACTTTGCAGATGAAGCAGAAAAACCCACCCAAACAGGTGGAGGGTGAGGTAGTCTAGTTTAAGGCGACGCAATCAATCCCGAGAAATGCCCAGAGCCAAGGACGAGTAATAAATTCGAAAACTAGAAACCCGGCAGTCTCAACCATCATCACGTTAGATGAATCCCCGAGAGCCCCGGGCACCGTAGACGTTAAACTTCACGAAGCATCACTCGCCGAATCTCTCGCATGCAAGCAAGGGATAGTTAACCGTCCCCTCCAACCCATCTACCTACCTACCCCACAAACTTTGCAATCAACCTGAAACGAAGCACGCCCCACTGATCCGGGGAGCTCGAAATCACCTGCCGAACTGGACGGGACTCCCCCCGCCCCCCGCCCAGAGGATCGGCGAACGCCAACGGACAAGTATGCGCGATGTTGTGCCTGCCTCCCCGCCCGCCCGCCTTCCTGCCTGCCTGATACCTGTGTCTCGGGTGGGTTGGAATAAATGGATGAATGAAGCCAAGTAATTTTATATGAGGCCTAAATGACCAATCAGGCTTGCCAAGAATGCAACGGCGCGAATAGGCTACGGAATACTCGAGTAATATTATAGGCGATTCCGGGGCCGACGGGCCCCCCGGGGGGAGGGGGGAAGGGGGGGGAAGAGTAGAGAGGAGGGCTCCTTGTGTTAAGTCGTGATGGTGGTGACGGTAGATATATATGAGGCATTACTGCGGATGGCAGAGGTTACAATCAGCTGAAAGTGTTTGGGCGATTCTTCATCTTATTATTTGATTTGATTTGATTCGGTTTTTCATGTTGGATTGATTGCCTGATTGCTCAAGGTTGTGGTTGTCGTACCGGTCGCGTCTATAAACAGGAGTATCATAATTATGCAAAGAAGAGTGATGTTTGTGTGTGGTGGCATGGTTTGGTTTGGTACCATATGCGGTGCGCGTTCCAGAGGGGGAAGGAGGAAGTGAGGTAAATGGGGAGGAGAGGAGACACGTTCTTGGATTGAGGTGGCTTCGGAAGCTAGGTAGGTGATGTGGTCTATTATGGAAGGGGGAAGGAAAGGGAAGAAAAGAAAAAGGATTACTGGAGTGCTGTGCGCAGAGGCAGGCAGACGTGAATCTTTGGTTTTCATATAAATCGATGCGAGTCACGAACAGAGACATGATGCCGGTGCTCGCTGTACTCGTGTACTGTACAAGTACCGAGTACTCGTGCAGTACAAGTGCTCCAGTTTATCACATCTGATCCCATCGTCCAATTCACACACACAATACCATCAGTCCACACATCATATCTCAGAAAAAATAAATAAAGACTGGTTCTATGGAGGCTGAAAGCCACAAGGGCACAAACCTTCAACATCTTTCCCTCCCCGCAAATACTTTTCCTTTTCCTTTTTTTCGCTTTCTTTACTTTTTTCTTTCTCAACCCCGCGGTACGATATCAAAGCAATGTAATTACTCTTACTCAGATTTCTCGAGTGACAACCTGTGACGTGCGATCTGCAATTATTCCCTTTTTTTGCGCGATTTCGCTCGGCGCCAAGGGTTTGTGGTGTGAATTGCGTCTTTTTTTTTTTTTTTTGTCTTGTTATTTGCCCATGGAAAGTTATTTCGGAGAGACAGACGAGAACTTATCTGGCTACTGACGGTAAAATAAACACGCTTTGTCGACGGATTTTCAAGTGGCTAGCTATGATACTTGTATGCCAACTCCCAATAACGTGCGAATGCGCTCATGGCTCAGGACGCTCGAGTTGCCGTATCATATCATTGGTCGAAAGCTCGCCATCTCGCACCCTGGCTTCGCATTCGCTCGCTAGGTTTGAAACGAGCAAAGGGCTAACAAAGACTTCGGGCTGTTTGTTCCAAAATGGACGTGTTTATATTGCCAGGGTTGTGTTGACAGAGGATTCCTATTCCCTTCCGGTAGCCGAAACTCACGGAGGATTCTTTTCCCTTTTTTTCTCTGTCCGCCTTTTTTCCTCTTCTTGACCTGGCCACTCAAAAATTGGCACGATGCGGGCTTTTTCGAAGCGGTCGAAGGGAGGGATTTTTCCCCGGGGCCGGTTGTGGCAAGCCGTACTAAGAATTCCAAGACGGCTTACGAGATGCCAGATAGGTGATTACAGTTTCATTCGCTATATTAGTTTATTTCTCCAACCCCGGAAGCGGCCGAGTATGATATGATACTATACTGAGTGGTGGGAATGCTATGTGCGGCAGTCTTGCTCGCGACGGGTAAGTGACACAGTCATGTCACTCACGGGGTCAGGATAGGGTGACGGTGAAATGCGTGATGGGGCGTCAGTATGAGGGTAAAGAGTTGATGCGTCTCAATCTCTCATGACACTTGTTTCAAGCAATATTTGAAAGCGACACCCTAGCACATTTTGAGGAGGGCCTTTATGAAGCACTGAATAATGTGCTAGATGAGTATGATGTGTCTCTCGCAGATGAGTGTGTGTGGTTAGTAGGTGTGGTTCCTTTCAGAAGATACTTGTAATACGGTATGATCCAAGCTTGCATGCCCCCGGTAGTTAATTGTATTATATACTCTTCTTTTTTTTGTATCTCAATCTCCCACTCTGCTTTATCTTATCGTTTTTCTACTTTTAACCACTTTTCTCACTTCGTTTAGTAGCAATTGGTCGAGTACCGGTACCCTTCCTGCCACCCACAGTATGCTCGAGTACAAGTACTGTATAGTATATTACGAGGGCAAAGATACCCCTGTTATGATGATACCTGTCAGACAGGGTGTCGATAAGGTCCATAGTGACACCCGTCACCGACTAACCCCTGGGCGACACCCTGTGGTGATGTGTGGTGCAAGTACCGTAGGCGACTGAACAGCCTGTACTAGGGCCGGTATCAAAGACAGAACTCGAGACCGGTTCGCGTCCAAATAAATATCCGGAACAGTTGATGGCATAGACCGTCGACATTTGCGATTGCCGTCTCATTTCCGAGAAGTTGTCTATCTTCACGCTCGGCCTTCGGAACATTGGCTGCTTTTGACTGATGTAGATCGATGGCGACGGTTGCCGAGGGAATTCGGAGAACCCCGCTCCAGTACCCGACATAAAGAACCCGGACATTTGAGTCCCAAGTCAGTATGGGCGCTCGAGTGTGCACAGAGAATTTGCCATACGATACAAAATTTTGATCCCAGATCCCTATGTTGGTGCCTGGTACTTGTGCTCGAGTACTTGTACTCGTACGTACATTCTTGCCCTCTCAAATTGCATATCGTATCACATCATCACGATGGATACGACGATATGCTATGATAGCTTGATGATTTGGCAAGCTGGGCTTCTTTTCTTGCCTCAAAGGAGTGGCGTTAGTAGCACGGGCTGGTGAAAGCTCTGATTATAGCAGAGATAACCTCCCCAGCATGATTGGTTCGCGCGCATTGGTGAACCCCCGGATTATCCTCCGAGCCCCGGTTCTCGGTCAAGGGGTTCCGAAAGACATTAATATTAATGATCAGGCTTCGCTCGGATGGGAGGAGGAAAAGAAAATAAATACCAAAAAAGCTGGAATACCGGTACGATACGTCTCTCAGTTTTTTCTCTTTCATGGGATACCGGGGAGCAGACGGAGAAATGATGTTCCAGCTCCACCATGGTACTGGAGCCGATGCACAAAAATTACTTGGGAGTAAAGCCCAGTCTAGAATTATGCAGGTCTTTCGAAAATTTTCGCCTGGGATTTTCCGGCTCGAGATCGCTGTCTAGAATCTCGATGGAGGGGGAAATGGGAGAAACCTAAGCTATAAGTGAATCGAGTGGGAAAAAAGGGTGCAACCAGAATATCCTTTAAACTACCCTCGCTATTCTGAGCGGTGACAACAGACGTCCCCTACAGTACCGTACTAGTACACGAGTACTCGTACCAAATTCGGGTGGCGTCCTTAAGTTGGATCGCGTTTTCTTGATTTCTTTGGAGATCAACGTCTCGTGTGGGCAACGGCACCCCCACATGGCTAGCAGGTCACCTGCGTCTCGAAAAAGAAGGGCTCGTCCGACAGAAAACAAAAAGAGTCAAAATAGGAACATTTGTTACGAGTACTGTACTCGAGTACTCGTACAATCCATAATACCGCTAAGGTATCCCCGATTTTGATCCAGATCAGCTACAACACTTTTAACAAGAAAGACAATCCCACCATGAAAGAAACGAGTTGGTACCGACCGATCGGAGTACTCGAGTAACGCTGGGAATCCTATTGACTATTTCTGGTCAATAGAGGATTCGGAAGCGCCTTGCGAACGCGGTTAGACTTCTGGAAGCCGGGATGAAATGAAGAAATGAAAAAAGAAAAAGAAAAAAGACGCTTGTTGGGACACAGCAACAGAATGCGTATGTGGAGCGCTAGAACCGCGTGCGCCCTGTCTGAGGCTGTCCAGTCCGAGCCGCAATCGATTGGGCCCATATTATTGCGAGGGCTTGCTGATGTTCTTGTACCTATACAAGTAGGTACAAACTACGCTCTCACCTATTTCCATCCAGTCCAGTGAGGGATCCAAAGTGACGCCTTGCGAGCACTCCCCCATACGCCACCGCCGGATCTATCATCCATAGGAGATACCAAATTATGTATGTCTTTATGTGATGCCGGCATGCAAATGTTACTTCTGTTGGCGCTGGCTGGCAATGGCCAAGTATCATCCAATAGGGCCGTCTTCACGAAAACATTCGTTGGGAATGTGCTGGCTGTTTTGTATCTGTTGTGGGGTTATCGTAGCTATATCGTATATATCGATCTGGAGGCAGGGATTCCCGTCGCTCTGAAATTTGGTCATCGGTATTACCTATCGTTGAGCGTACTTGTTTCCCAACCGTTTTTGTATTTGAAAACTTTCTGGTTCGGTACTGCGTTTCTTTTTTTGGTGGAATTGTCCCCAATTAGGTGAGGGATGAAGTGTTTCTGAACCCTTTACCCCGGGATTTTTGGTGGTGATGCAGAGTTAAAGTGCAAAGGGGAGGAGGGCAGAGAAAGGGAGCTGCATCTTTGATTGCCTCACAAAATGTGGGGATGCAGAGGGCACAGTACGAGTAAATCGACCTCTGTAAGAGGGATGCCTTTCTTCCGATCTATTGACAGGGTCCCCCCCACTCAGAATCCTGTGGAGCGCCGCACAGTGACCCGCGGAATCCCGGCTCCCGTCAACACTTGTGGATTGCGGTCGGTCAGCCATCACCTCTTTGCTGGCACTTGTACTCCAGTAGGCTGAATGTAGCCCATTTTTCTGTACGTACTTGTAGAGTACCACTGCTCGTACTACTCGAGTACGGTACCGTACTTTGGTGCCATGATAAATACGGTACTCGAGTAATGGTATGTGAATAATACCGGTATGGGGGATGCGACGGTGACTTAACGATGAAGAGAGCATGGGTCGCAGACAAGGCTGTGGCCGACAAGTCACCGTCACCATCACAGTCACCGTCACCTCTTAGTACAGTGGCGAGGCACTCCCACAGGAGTTTTCGGCCCGACCAGAGTGTAATATTACTGGATCTAGAGATTCTTATAGGGGGGGGAGGTGAAATCGCTGGAGAGAATGAGACTCAAAGCGACATGAGGAGCTAGCTACCGGTATCAGTGTTATTTCTACCGTGACTATTTACCTACGCAGCG